GAAGTGGTAGAATTCATCAGCTACATGGAGGCATCTCCAAGGGTCTGCACCTGAGTTAATCACCCAGTGTCCCTTTTTAGTCTGTGGAAAGACATAACCACTTCTGGGACACCATCTCATCCTAAAGTAGGTGTCTAGAACAGGTCAGAGGAATCTAACCCTCATGGTGCCTATTTATCTTTCCTGATGGAAGGGGAAACTGGTAGGACCAGCACAGAAGCGGGTTTCTGTATAAAACATTTGAAATTAGCCAAGAGAAATCCTACCTTATACAACACCCCAGATGACTCATGTTACCTACTACCCTCAGTGTTCTCCTAGTCTGGGCTTCGCAAATGCTGAAGGGGACATAAAGAGAAACTTCGAGTACAACATGAGTCTTCAGCAGTTCTTTATGTGACTCCTAGTCCCACAGAACATCTGTAACATCTACTGACTGGAGTTCTACCATTGTCCTTTCTGCAGATCTTCTAAACATAAAGTAGTTCCATAAACCCCCACAAACTACTAGAATTTAAAACTTACAGTAAAAGACTAAAAGGTATTTATAAGGTTACTCCAGTAAGCAGGTTGATAAACTGAATGCTAGTGTTCTTTAAAGTTGCCTAAGAATGTGTTCATGACATTATCTTAGTAGTCAGAGCACTAACAAGTTCTTAGTTGTAGATGTAGTAATGTACTCCCATCCTCAAGAAATAGTTACTAAAACATCTGTTAAGCACTGCAATAACAAACTCCAAGACAGGTTTCCAAAGATCGTTTTACAGACACAGCAATAGGCAGTATCTCTAAATTAAACATTGACCCCGGCACACAATCCTGCTCAACATTTTCTAGCTGTTACTTCTGTCTCCTCCCTTGAAATTTCCTGTACCAATACACCTTGTCTAAAATCCACTCCAGTCCCATAAGTGTCTCACAGGAGCTTCTGGCGGCTCAGCAGATTTATAATTCAGGTGCTACATGTTCAGGTTAACATGAGGTGTATATGGCCTTATTTTAGAACCCAGATCTGTTCAGTCTTGGCCAGTTGCTCTATTTTCTGGCATGGATGCTTTGACCCAGCTGCTAAACCCATTGGTGCCTGTCCAGCTGCCAGTTATTTGAGCATGGACTCCGGATGGAGACGGTTGGGTCTTAGAGCAGTGAGAGTAAATTGACCAAGGAAGAAGAACTTCTGAAGGCAGGTCATCCAGCAGGGCTTTTTTTTTTAGGGTGGGTGCAATGAAGAAAAGATGTCTTGCTTTTGTCATCTAAACCAAAAGTATCCAGTTTTCTAATTTCCCTCAATTGGTCAGTTATTACAGATTGCAAATGACAAACCTCAAGTAACACAGAGGTTTCTTAAGGATAACTACTAAAAGTTCTTTGGGCAAGTACAGCCTAACACCAAAATTAGCCCAGAGAGAATACATTTCAGTAGTTAACATTTTGGTATTGGATGCAATCTGTGAAAGCCTTTATCTGTAATATGATGATATCATAAGATCATAATGTTAGAACCAGTGTAATTGAAAACAATCTGTCTTTGCTTCCTTTGTTTAATGAGAAGACAGCCTGCCCCAAAAAATTGTTTGTACAAATAAGATATACTCAATCACATCACTACAGTTCATGTTTGTACTATTCTATCAGGATAGAATATAGATAGAATATATAGATTGATAGAATATAGATAGTCCTGCACTATCAGGACTTTGACCTAGTATTTTGAGTTTGTTCCTCGATGTTGTCATGCAAAATATCAGTCTTACTGTTTTTAAGATGTTGCTGTTCAGTTGCGATATTTCAACAGGAGCTACTCATTTTTGTCTCAGGCTCTGAACGTTTAGTGTCATTTTCAGTGGGGTTTGCTTGATCAAGCACCCTTTAGTAGCTTTTAGAAATCTTAGCAACTACATAAGTTGCTGTTTTCATGCTGATGAAAGGCTGGATTTCTTTTTCATTTATATGGATCAATTCTTAGAGAAGTTCTCTGTCTACTCGCTGGTTTTATGCTGGATGCTACTTAAACAGGACATTTAAATGTCATGAAAAATGGAAATGCTTTCAACAAAAGCTGGGACATAAAAGTTAGAGGTTATTTTTATTAAAACATGAATTTGTTTTAGAAGGGACTTGTAAATGTATCACTTATGGTGGTAGGCCTGTGTTTCCTTCTTTCTGAGTGCAGCATCTAGATCCTCAAATACAAGGGGAATATAAACAAGGTAAAAGGAAACCACAGATCAGTGAATGATCCATTCTATGATTCAGCCCATTTCATGGTGAAAGTCTTCTGGTGATAACGCTTTTCACATCCCCAGGTCTTCTTTAACATGTGTTACAAATCTTCAGAATGCCCCTAACTTGGGAAATAAGCAAAAACCTTCAGTAGTAAATCTGGCCAACACAATACACAAGTATTTAAAAATGGAGAAATTCCAGGTTCCCCAGCCAGGACTTGAACCTGTGACCTACTGGCCCAGAGGTGTGAAAGCACTCTCTCGAGCCAATGATATCACTTTAAGTGCTACAAACTGAAGACATGTCAAATGAATCATTTATTCAGTTCAGTCAGCTTTAAATTTTTCTTGGTAAATGTTCCTGAAAACAGAGAAAGGCTTCCAGGTTTCTCTGTGTGTCCGTGCACATGTGTGTGAGGAGACATGAGCACATACCACCTCCACTGAGAAGTTTAAGCTTGTATGTCTGTTCTGACATAATAAAGATTTAATATGCTTTTCTTTTTTTTTAACCATCCATGTTCCAGTCTATAAGGATGATTTAAAATGTTTGGGAGCAAAGTATGCACCATAGTTTCAGTTAAAGCAGATACTTTTCAATGCATATTAAACTTCACATAAAAATTATTTTATGTCTGGAGGAAGAAAGATTTTATGATCCAAAATAATGCTCTTCAGCTTTAACTGAGGGTCATCCAAGTGACATTTAGCATGTTATCCATCAGGAACCTTCGTGTCATTTTTTAAATGAATTTCTCAAGTTTCTTCATAAGAAGTAGTTGGACTCTGCACCCCACTGTTGTCACCAGCAATCGCTGGTCCAGAATCCTGTGGTCCTAATGATCAAAATCCATCTAATTTCAAGCCTAAATATGTTTAGACTGAACTTGTTCCAATTTTTTCCTCACATCAACACTGTTGTTTAATTTAAAAGCTTGTGGGAATCCTCCATGATCGTGCTGTAGCGGAGAGTCTTACCATTTGCAGCCTTTATTCTGCACCTAGCTTTGGCTTTTTTCATCTTCCCTTGTAGGACAGGTTCTCCATTCCCTGACCATCTTGGTAGTCTTTCTCTGTTCCTTTTCAGATTTCTCCTGCTTTAAATGTAACTAGCTAGAAATCTTTAGAAGCGAGTCTAGTGCCTACCTGAACTCTGTCTACCAGGAACAGCTTTCCTTCCATCTCACGATTGCATGCTTGCATGACACAGATGGGTCACTGTCACCATGTGATGAACTTTGTGCAAAGAAAAACTCCTTTATTCTGCTCTGTCTTTCCACCTGAGGAGCTCCAGGTCATAGCAACAATTCTTGCTGTTAGCTATCGCCCTGTATTTTTGTTACGATTACATTTCATTCCATTGCAATTGTTATTCTAGCAGGTATAGTAATTCAATGCCTGGGAATGTCCTCCTGTAAGATTTGTTCTGACAAAGACATTTCAGAGATTTCCATATCTTATAAATCAAGCTGCTGTCATGCCCTATTTTTCTTCTTCAGTCTCTTTCTGGGGTAAGCATCAGCCAGCAGTTACTCCAGCCAACATCATCAAAATCAGGCGCTTTTTTTCAGTTGCTGCACTTCCAAAGCAAACTCAAACAAGTAAAGATATATAAGAACAGGTTCAAGGACCTTGCAAGTAAATTATAAAACCATAAAACCCAAGCAGATGCAAACAACCACATTAATGCTTCACTGAGCTTCTCTATGTAGTTTTAACTCCAGGGCTCTTGCTACAAGTAAAACATGTACTGCTTCAGCCACAACATCATGGTTAGAGGAAAAATCTAGGTATGATCAGAATAAAATGCTTTCTAGTGTAGCACGGTATTCCTACATGGAAAACCATATTACTGAAAGACACATTTGTAGTAAGCAAACTACATCCAGACTAGGCCTTGGAATAGTGTATAAAAGAAAGAAGTTAGTATGGTACCAGACTGTATATACCAGGGCTGACATCTCTCAGGCACAGCATGACATATATCTATGCTGCTTCCAGTGGTCTCTTCTCCAATACCTAGTCCCCAGAAATAAGTCTGTGTGTCAATGACAACATTTCTCTCTATAGCCACCTAGCTTTTGTAGTCACCACATAGAAGAAGCTTCTATCTGTAATACCTTGGAACAATGTCTAATTTCTAAACACGTAAACAAAATATAGTCTTTTAAAAATATGACTGTTAGTCAGCTTTCTTTAACATTATGTTATATTCCCTGGAAATTCTTCAGTCCTTATTGGTATCCATTTCCCTTATCTAGCTTAAATTGCTCGTCTGTACATTTCATAGTCTCTGAGCATATAGCCATACAATAACAACTAATTCTTTGATAGGTTTAGTGATTCTAAATCACAGTTTACCAGATTCTTATCAAACACATATAATTGCAGCCAGTCTGGCAGAACATCACACTGAAAATTGCATCTGAACGCATAATTACCAGCAACAAAAATCCCAAACAGTTACGTAACCCACTGAGTATCGTGCACGCGTGTGCACATGAACTGCATCTGCATTTTCATGGATGGTATTTTTCAGTCATGTTAAGGAACTCTGCTACCCTTAAATGCCCTCCTGTTTCCACCAAGGTTCTAAATGGCCAATCACTGACAGTTTCACCTGAAGGAAACGGGTCCTGTAAGTGCCAAAAAATAAAAGCAGCTACATTTTCAAACACTAGACTGTAATGATTGCCCCTTAATTAATGTGAAAAGTTTCCATTAGTTCTTGAAGAGTTAGGGTTTTTGTTCTTTCTTATGTTAGTAGCCCAAGTATTAATACAAGGGATTAAACTGATTAAGTATTTCAGATTTCATTCCGCAAATTGACATGTACATTTCCTTACCTGACTCTTTCATAGGACACAGTGCACACTGCATGCCCCAGGCTTCACCGTATAGGCAACAGCACTCAGTATATGTAGTCTGCTTTCCAACCAGAGGTCGACTACAAACAAAATCATCACTTAGATGCTGCCAGCAAAGATCCTGGTAGACCTCAGTTTCTTCAGTTTGTTCTGATAGAGAAGACAGTATTAGATCATCATTGCAGCATGGTTCTTTAAAAAAAGATACTAGGATAATGAAGAATTTTCTAAACTTAGATTAGAAAAATAACCTAGCTTTACAGACTTTGCTGAATACAAATTTAAGCCTAGAAGTTACAACCATTTTTAAGGGCCTGAGGTGGCTCATCCCTTGAATGTTCAGCTTTGGAAAAATCTTAAAAGGTTCTGGTTGGGCACTATTAGGCCAATTTAAAAGCACGTTAGGTTGGACAACCAAGAAGAAAAACTTCCTAAATCAGTAGTCATTGCCGAACGCTTAACAGTGCCTCAGCTCCGCTTGCATGGAAGTTAACAGAGCTTGACAAAAAACAGCATTAGGACAGAGGTGAATATTTAAGGAACTCCATCCACGGAATAAATCTTGAAACATTGTTATTTTGCTTTTCTTATATTGCCATCAATGGCATCTGAAAAACTTTAACAGCTAGGGCAGAGCCAAATAACAATTTTACATGGGCTCAATGGCAGACTGAACAAATACTCAGAGAAGAGTCCCATTAACAAAAGAGACAAACTACATCAGGCTCAGGAAATCCCCTGAGCTGAAAATAGCTGGAGGCTGGGAGAGTGCTGGGGAGGGTGAGGAGAAGTATTGTTTATCTGCTCTTATGGTTCCTAATCGTCCCCTTACAGCTATTGTTAGAGACAGAATACTGCTGTGAACTACTGTCACATTCTTATGAACATTAATAAAAACATGTATTTTCATCAGAGGCATACTAGTTCTGACAAAGATCTCAGTAGGAACAATTCCTAGTCCTAGCAATCTCTGATCACTGCTCATCAGAGGGAGAGGAACTGTAAACTTAATCTTCCACTTGGAATGTAAGAACCTCAACACAATTGTTTTGTAAAGATACCTGCAAGGTTTTGATTTTGTTCCAACAGAGAGAGAAAAATAAGTGGTGTCACAAACCAAGGTTCTGTTTGGTCTGTGCATATCTATCTACTGCATTTTTACATGCTGCACTGGTGCATGGAGTGAGTACAGAATTGAAACTTAGCTCAAGAGTAAAATGGCGAGTTCTGAAAGTGCAAAGGTGATCAGCATTTAGATATCTATTCTACTAAGAACTTGCCAGAACACGCAGCGAAGAGCAGCAGTGGGTCTCTGCTCCCAAATTCTGCTGGCAGTAAAGGAACCAGCCTGCCCCCTCCTCCTCTGCGTTAGGGAGGACATTGCCAGTAGTGATACAAGGCTGGAGCACTTTGCGCTGGGTGAGAAGATCATTGCTGTGTCAGCCCCAATGTCGCATGACGGAAGACCCTTTGGGCCCTTGCATTTTCTTCACATCCTAGATGAACCCACAGGGCAGTTCTGCTCTTGGTTTGTTTAACTGAAGATTGAGCAATAAAAGTGCTGTGGTTCTGTCACAGTTTCAGGCAAGAGGATGACCACAGTACTCCTCAAAAGTATCGGTCTTATAATTTGGAGTGACTAAAGCACGCATTCAGTCTGTATTCCCATTTCCTTTCACAGAAGCATCTTAGGAAAATTCATTGCAAGTTGCCGGGATCAGAAGTCTGGATTTATGGCCACAGTGCCAATATTAATCAAACCCATTGTAACATTTCTTTCAAAGATGTGTGTGGCATAGACAAAGCTGTGCAGACTGCATAATGCTCTGGATTTCTGAGATGTTTCTAAGACTCTCATAATATCTTAGATTTTTTTCTGAAATCAATGTCTACTGAAATGAAAAGAACATGCAAAAACCTTACTTTAACAGTGATGCTGCAGCCCGCAGCTTGAAAATATGAGCTCAATGTGCCCTCAATATTAATCAATTGAAAGCAGAGATACAATTTCAGCTACTTTCTCCTATATCCTATTACTCCTCTTTTTATTTCTTGCTTCGTTAGAAGCAGTCGCTCACTCCGAACCGAATCTCCAGAGTTAGCCCACAGCCAAACCCCGGTCTGAGGGAGACAGCAAGCAGGCTGTGCCTCATTACCTACAAGGCTGGACAAGGCAGACGCAGAGCTGGTGAATCAGGGGGCTGAAGACTCCCCAGCCCAAGCCTAATCCTGTTAATACTTCCACCAATCTCCTGCCTGCGTTGGCAAAGTGGAGCCCTGTGGATTCCTACATCATGATGCCTTCTGGATCAACAGACGATGGTCCAAGCACTGCCTTCCAAAATCCTCCAAACGAGCAGGCTCATCCAAGCATGACCCCGTCTAAGCTTACTGGGGTCTGCAGCCACGTCAGCACCACCTCGTAGAGGTGTACTCACTTCAGTAATATGTATAATGGATCATACCACTTGAATCTGCTGGTCTGATGCATCGCTTTTCTGTTGCGTCCAGAACCATTGGGTGTGTACAGAAACAGTTGTAAGATCCTTCTGTGTTAATGCACTGGCCATCAATACAGCTGTTTGGGTCCTGACATTCATCCGTGTCTTTAAAATGGAAGGAAATGTATCAAGGAGAGCCAGCACAAAGTAGTCGCATTGTGTTAATCCACGTTTATATTTTCCTATATTAGGAGCAGATTTCCCTGCGTGCCTTCTGGTAATTACCTCAAATACCAATTACTGGCAGCAAAATCCTGCCTGCACCCATGGAGAAGGACAGACAGATCAGCAGGATGCTGACCTCTAATCCTCAAGTACTAGGGAGCATCTGGATGAGGAAGCTTGCTGGGAGGGGTTGGAGTGCCAGCCATACCCTGCATCCAGTACAGCTGCAGCTGCTTCCCACGAACCTATCCCTTTAGGGCGGTACCAGCAGGCATTAGAGGTGGGCATGCTCTCCGAGATTCTTCGTGAGCTGGTCAGGAGAAAGGATCACTTTACCTAGCCACAGTAGTTCTATTCCTTAGTTTGTCTTGGAGAAGAAAAGCAGAAATTTAGCTTAAAGGGAAGAGCAGGCCATTTTACTTCAAATAAATTACATCGAATCAGCAAAAACTCCACCCTTTGTAAAGAACAATCATAGAATCCCAAGGTGAAAGGCTCTCTTATTGCGGTTGCAAAAATTACTTCCTTTCATTATGCTATTCTGCACATTATACATGGTTTTCTACTTACAAAGCAAAAGCCAGGGTCATGGTTATGAGCAATTTTCATTTGAATACCAGAACCAACGGAGTACAAGGTTGTGCAGACTAAAATGGGCTTATCAATGACCTGAACTGTAATTACACATTGCATATTAACTCCTTGTGGAAAATATCTGTCCTTGAAAAAAAATAATCAATCTGTGTTAATTTGATTTATTATATTATAAACCAGCACGCTTACCAAATGAAAGGTGAGCTTCAACATACAGGTTTTCACTGCTCACCCCATGTACAAAGAACAGAAGGCTAAACTGCAGCTTGGCAGAGTGAAGCGGCAGTGTGCATGTAAGGAGGGAGCCACCTCCCATCACTTTGTGTTGCCTGCACAAAGGCTGGTGGCAGCTCTAGACTATGCACTCAAGGGAGCACAAGGGGCTGTTTTGGAGATGCAAACTCCTGGGAGCAATTTGCTAAAAAAGGAAGCAAATAAAGCAAACCCTGCTCTACATGCCATTGCCGTGTCAACCAGAATTGCTGCCTGGCCAAGCAGAAGGGAAGGGAAGTGACCCGATGCCTCTTAAAAAGCTTCTATAGGAGTTTGGAGGCCCAACGTTCCTCCTCTTGCTGGGAATACTGCAGTTCTGATGGGAATCCTGCCATATGAGTCTGCTTGTTTTGCCCATCTGCATACCATTATAGTGACAAGACGACTTTAAATAAACTTACCAAAGCACTGGAGCTTAACAGGGTCATAATATGTGCCTTGTTTGCAGTAGCACTCATAACCTGGCTGCGTATTCAAACAGAAGCCATTTTTACAGATTTCTTGTCCAAATAGTTGGCATTCATCAGCATCTGGGGAGAAAACATTAAAGGCTGCGTTACCATAATTCTTATGAGGCCATGCAGAGGAGCACGATGGAACAAAGTCTATACACTTTTCTGTTCAAGCAAACTTCTCTTTAAACAGAGGGCCCCAGGAGCACAGATATCCACAGGAAAAAGAACCCAAAAAACAGGTGTGGAAGAGGCTATGGTGTGCTCATAGCCAGAACGGGAAAGGGAAAATTAGTGGACCGTGACTTTTCCTTTCCATTGTCAGAGTAAGTCCTGTGGTACACAGAGTCTGGAAGAATCTGCAGCTCCCCTTTCTTTCCTTTGGTACCACATTCCTCTCAGCTCCAAGCAAAACAGATGAAGAACATGGCCTGTATTTTCCAGTATAATTTGCTTTACCTAAGCGATTCCCACCATACATCTAATTCAATCACATCATCTGATTACAAAACTAAGCAGTTATGCTTATGGATGGACTTTGTGACTGCTCTCCTCTCACCATTCAGTTTGGTGGCTCTGCCCTGCATGGTAGGGAGTCTTCATATCTGCACTGCTTGTGACTTCATTTTTCAAAGCTGTACGCACAGCTTCTGCAGAGACTTCCCACCAAATAGGAACAGTTGTGTCCGTTGCTAAATATAAGGCTGCAACTACTACAGACCTAGTGACAACTGACAAAGAGAATCTACCACACTTTCAAATAAGGCCAAATGTTTTCAGGGAGGTTTCATGGAAAATACATGCCAGCTCATATATAGCTTTTCACAGTTGTACACATTTTTTCCCAGTCTTGTATTTATGTATTTGTTACTGTTGGAATTCCATTCACTTCCTTTTTTCCAACCTACTTTTCATTTGCTAGACCTACCTAGACTAGTCTGTTAAAGCTAGGCTGGTATTAAAAATGGCAATAAAAAGCACAATGTAAATTAGGTGATTCTCCTCTCAATACCAATTGTCTTTATCCACTGTCTTCTATAGAATTACTCCCTATTTACTCTGGGGCAACACAGATTATAGCCCAAAACTGTCGTTTCGAGCTGTACAGCAGTTTTAAAGGTGAATTACTCAAATGCTTATTTTTTCCAGAAGAACTGAAAGTGCTATAAAGCTATTCATTTTTACAGTGACTCTTCCAGCCACTAAGTGGCTTCAAACATTAAATATTTTGACTGTTTAGCAGCAAGAACAATGCAAAGATTAATAAGGAATGTCATGTAGATGTCTGTCGGTTTCCTGTGGAACATGGATTTGTGTATGGGGAAAAACAGGAAAGCCTGGGAGTAGAGTCAAGCAAGGCTAGCTGAGTATATTCACTTCTGACAGATAATCCCAATTAAGAAAATAGGAGTTGCTTCTACAAGCAGAAGCTTGTGGACAGAAGCAACAGGAACATATGACTTAGTGTAACAGAGAACGATCACATTACTAAAAGTACTTATCCATTTATTGTTCGTCCTTTGTGCCATTCCTAAGGTTATTACAAAATAAACTTACAGAAAACAGAAGAAGTCTTACTATGGCAAGGTTTTGTGGAAGAGATTTCCAGATGAACCATTTCCACACTTCAGTATTTACGGCAGCTAGAGATATTGTCAGCCCTGAGGTAGCACAATGAAAACAATGCAGATTTTCTCTGACACACATTTGGACATACTGCACACACAGCATGTCCCAAATCTACATTGCAAAGATACACAGAAATCTTAGATCTGCAAAAAGAAACAACGCACTGAACAAAAATACTCTCAGAGAGCATTAGGTCCTTTAAGACCTAATACTAGTCAGTGTTCTGACTTGTCTAGATGTAAATTGTCAGTCTGTCGAAGACTGGTCCCCGCTACCATCAGTCTCAGGTCTGGATTCATCCCATGGCACTTTGTTCTTTACTCCAAGTTGGTGGACAAAGCAACACCTCCAGAGAGTGGAGGTCTTATGTGAGTTACCCCATTTAAACGCCCACATTAGTTTGAATGAATCTGGGTATTAGTGCCTTATAACCTTTAGTATCTTTTCCATGCCCCGTGCACTTTACAGGTGCAAACACACACCTGCTGAGGATAACATAAAAAAAAAACGTTGGTAGGACAGAGACCTGAATTCAACCATGGTCTACTCGCTAACTCGACAGGAAAACTGACCTAGTAGTGTCCTACTCAGTGAGGAAGGTAGTTCGGAAAAGTACACATAACAACCATTAGGAAAAAATCCAAAAATCTTTCAAGTCCCACCAGTTTTTGTCATATCTGGGTCCGACAGATTACTGATTTAGCTAGAAGCAACTCTGGCAAATCCTTATCTACATCCCATGTGATATTATGCCTTGAAAAATAGTAAATTTTACTGCATTTTTATGTGATATGAACACACAGTACTTTCTGTATTTAGTTCTTGATTTGTAAAACAACAATTCCAGTAGGAACAAATATATAAAATGTGTGCTTTTCTAAAGATCCTGTAGTTGCTATGTAACCCAAAGATACTATGCTGACTTCATTTTAGCTAACACAAATACAGTGTGTTTATGCCAAGGAAAATTAATCTCACAAATTATTAATATTGATGACTGCTTCTCAAACTTGAAAAGGAATTTCACTGATCTCACTCTTCCTTCTTAGTGATGCCAACTCCTTCCCACCCACACCCACCAATTCCTTCTATCACTCGTATTTCTCTACAATCTTTTGTTCGATAATTATTTCATGACGTTCTGTAATGAAAATATCATTGCTGAACTTCTTTTCAGTTTTTATATTCATTCTCACTTGTAGGTCTAATGTTTAACAGAACTTTTCTGCTCTCTCCTAATTTGTAAATTTATTTACAAATTTCAGGTGGCTTTGTATTCCATATGTAAATGAGTATTTGAGGTTTGTGGTCTCAGCATCTATTCTCACAGTGTATAGCACTTAGCTTAAATTAAACCAGAATATTACAGAGACTGTACAATTGACATTCTTAACAATCTGTCAAATGATGATTTTCAGTAATGTTTTATATCACAAGCTGTTTTTGTCACCTAATAAAATTTGAATTAGTATGTTTACATTGCTGGCTCACATTTCAGCCAATCAACTACCAGAACTTCTGAAATAATTAAACTTAATACAAGTCAGTACTGACCTTTGTAATTCTGAGCAAGAAGCCCGTAAGATGATTCTCCAGAGGGAATGAAACCTTTTCCTTCAGGACACAAATCAGTAAATTCAGCTAGGAGAGAGAAAAAACAAAAAAAATACGTCGTTAAGTTACTCACATATGTATGTGTTACATATGTGTTTCACGGTACTTTGAGAAATCTGAGGCGACGTTTTGCCTTATTCACATCTATCAGGCAATTGTGCACACCTTTAGCTAAACTGGGGATGCAAACAGTTACAAAGTTGGCTACAGCCTGACTTTCCTCTGCTCTCAGTTTGCAGCACTAGCTTTGAAAAACCTAGCTAGGGTACACACAGCACCACAGAGCTCCACGCAAACTAATTTCTCTTGCTCCTTGGCAGGAGAGTGTAGTCCTTACTGGGTTTCATGGTGCACTGCAGTTATAACAATACCAGTAGCCAAATTATCTTAATTAAAGCTAGCATGGGCCTCTCTGAGCTATAGTGCAAGCTGCAATTTAGACATACCCCAACTGAGATACAACCCCCTGTCCACATTCTTCAGTCCTTATGCAGGAAAAACACTAATTGACTGCAATAGGAGAACATGGTGTGCATTACAGAGGGAAATTATTTAAAGCGTCTTGGAGACTATACAGAATCAAATAAACCTATCCAAGCAGAGAGGCTCTTTTTGTAACACATCTCATTTCATTTCACTGATTCTAAAGTATAGTTAAAACAAGAATTAAACATGATGATACATTTGTGTGAAAAGTAATCTTCAGTGTTTAATCTCAAAAAGTTTACACATGTTCTCTCTTACGTGATTTTTTCCAGCTGGAGTCTGAATTTCAGCCATCACTGTTTATGTTTCAAGCACTGTTTTCAATATTTGTGACAAATATCATATGGCTGTGTTTTGCTAATTTAATATTTAGAGGTTAAACAATGATCTGCAGACAACATGATTAACTGAATTGTTCAGTAAGTAGCAAATGTAAAACTAATGTCATAATATATATCAGTAATTCACACAGCTGTAGAAACAACATTACAAAGAATAGCTGCAGACTCAAAAATGCTGTAATACTTACCTTTGTTTTCCAGCTTGGGAAAAATCTAACATGTTACCACAGCATCTGGAAAAAGCTTCTGTGAGAATCCATCTTTGTTTAAATCAGTTGGAGGCAATGCTGTTTAGTAACAGGCTGTTTTTATCCCTAGGGTAACTGCAGTGAAGCCAATGGATTTACACCAGGTATGAATTATTCCTACTACCTTTTCCTCTATGGAAGTCTCCCATGGATAAGTCATGACTAAATAATACAGAATATGGGGTTTAATGGGCAAGCCTTCTCCGACAGCAAAGCACTACACTACTGTTAACATAAACACAATGCTTTGCAAGTTTGCCAAGGGACAGAACCCTCCTCTTACCAGTTCCAAAGACAGGGCATGGGAAGATTTCACAGTTATCACCCCAGCCAGCACCCAAGGTACAGCAGCACTCTTGTTTGGTTACATTAGATGTAAGCACGTTGTCGCAGAAATTAGCATCGTTCAGATTGTAGTAGCACTCCTTTTTTCCATCTTCATGTTGATCAGCCTCTACTGGTAATTCTAAAGGTGAAAAGAAAACATAAACCACATAAGATGACATGTGAAGTCAATCAGTTTTACAGGAGAATCAGAAGAGCCGCAGTACCTCAGTTCCACCACAGTGAACAGCAGCATTGTCAAGCAGAGAAGAAAACAGTTAAGTACAAACTCTGGTTTAACTTTTTTGTTCTTAGGAAGAGTGATGGAAGGCGATAGCCTTCCTTTGACTTTATCAGACCTGTTCTCCAACTTGGCCACAAAGGGATTCTTCATGTTTACATTTCTTTCATTTTTAAGCAATGCACGAACTACCTGCTGTCACGCTCAGCTCTCTAACTACCATGCCCAACTACTGACATAGTGCTTTTCACGTATGAACCTGGAAGCTCTTCACAGAGGTGAGCAAACATTACAACCTCATTTTACAGATAATGAAGCTAAGGCACAAACTGAAAAGGCCTGATTTTCAAAAGAATGAATATTTCCAGCCCCTTTTAATTTCACTGGGAAAAAAGCATGTTCCACACTTGACTACAAGGCCCTTTATGATTTTTGCAAAGGTAACTGCCTTGCTCCATCGTAAGCAGAGGAATATAATGCAGATGTCAAGTTAACTGGCTCTGTGCTTTACTTTAAAGTAGGCATCCAGCCAAGAAGTCAGATTTTCTGCCTTTAGCAGTTGCGTGGGTCCTCTCACAGTATTTATAAGGACTGGAGGCAAAATAGTTGCTCCCATACATCCAATAAAAACCCCTATAAATAGTCAAAGACTTTTCTAATGCAAGGCACTGCTAAAGTACACCAAGAAGTAAGTTTGAAAAGAAATACCTAGTTAAAGCTTCTGTGTTTCCAGAACTGTCTATCTAACCTTGCACTTCCACAGAATTCTCATCAAGAGCTTAGAAGTGGAAACTATCACATAAAATTGTTACTCACACTGGATTAATATGAAAAACTTTTCATAGACCATCCATAAAGTAACAGAGTTCTAAAATTACAAATGCTAACGTTTATTATCAAACCCAAAACTTTGTTCAGGAACTTAAGATAGATAAATCTTGAGGCGACTAGTTTATTTTCTTTTTATCTTGGAAATTCTTTACACTTAGCACTTAACAAATGTTTAATTCACAAAAACTTACTAAAAATTATTGCACAGTGGCTGATTTTCCATTATTTGAGATTTCATTCATGTCTACTCAGGCTCTTGCACAATATGCCAAGCATGAGACATTTCTCAAGTAACACACGTATCTAGGCCGGAATCAACACCTTATTTTATACCTGAGTGACAATGCATTTCAAAATGCTAGAAGATTAGTAAGACCCAGAGAGCTGAGGCCTATAAACTATGTTTGTTTGCCTTCCAGTTCTTTTCAGAAAAGGGCTTAAGGCTGGCCCACTTACAAGTATTGGTAAACCTGGGAGAGCCAAGTTCACTTGACCACCTCAGCTGTCCACCTCTGTTTGTCTCTTGATCAAGCTCAGCCTCTTTATGCCAGGTATAGGATGGATTTTCGTCTAATCCCATCCACTGTGAGGTGGGAGCTTGACGATAGTGATTGTTCAACAAATGCTGAAGGAATTAAAGGAACTCCAGCTCTTGCTACTTCAGCCTGTTATCCCTGCCCACCTGCATTCCCCCAAGCAGATGGAGCAAGGCAACTTCACTGAGCATACTTTTGAGAAAAGTGGGTTTAAAAATGCCAGTATGGATTGCCTATTATTGCACGTCAATAGTATGAATGTGTGTAATAGTTCTTTTGGCTTCTAATTCCAAACAGACAAATGGATTTATTTCTGTTTTCCTCAGAGAAGTGACTGGTTCTGTTTTGGGAGGCTGAGGGGCTGGCAGACACCTCTATTCAAATTTAGTACAATGTTGCCACCTACAAGGCAAACTTTCCTTTACTGTTTTGCCAATATAACTAAGTTGTACATTAAAGGAAACACCCAGCTGAGTACTTATTTCATCTTTGTTAGTTTAGCCTGTGGTGTCCCCTCATCAGATAATTACAATTTTCCATAATGTGCTGAATTTCATAAAGTGTGGTGGTTTTGTGGTATCAGCTGCTATCCAATAGGAACTACGGTAAGACTATCGTGTCACAGAAATGCAACTGAACTAAATCTGTTATTTCAAGGTGAGAGAGCAGTACTTTAGTCACCAAATTACACATTTTCCTTGGCCATTTGCCATTTGTCTAACTGAATCAAAGCCAAATCTTCAACAGGAGAAAAAGCATGGCACTTTTCACTCTGTTTACCCGAGAAAGAACACCAGAAGCTGCCCTGGGAGGAAGGGGAGACAATCTCATCATGTCATTGTTTATTCCCATTTTACATATGATGTGTTGGTGTCTCCTCCCATTATCTGTTCAGCAGCTTAAAAGTCTGTTGTTTACACAGCTGTGACTGAGGGTTAGTCAAGCAGGCATTGTGAATGTTTGGAAAGCAAATGAGACACAAATCTTTTATATTTTTTTTTAAACCAAGACCAGTCTGTGTCTACAAGCATATAATTTCTCTCTCATACATTATTAACCATTTAGTAAACAGGTTGGTTTTGAAAGTGGTTTCACTAGGACGTTGACAAAATATGATAGGAAATGGATATTTATTTTTTTATCATTGTTATAGGTTTTTTGTGGTTAGAAAATGCAAAACATCTGTCTACCTAAGACATGCTGGTAAAGGAACATAATTTTTTCAGGTTGTTGATATGACTGTTCTATTAACAGCCTATAAGTGAGATTCCATACAGTTGCTGCTAGGTTGAACTCTGAAGTATTTATTAGAAATAGATTTATATATCTTAGCATAACCTTGATCCACAGTATGCTTCAGCATGAGTTTGGTGCAAAAGTGTCCACTAGTAATATAGGATTCAGTGGATAACCAGGATATTAGCATATGCTTAGATTTTAGCATACACTTAAATATTTGCCTAAATAGGGGCCTGTTAACAATTGTGATCTGAAAAAAATGAAACATATAGAACTGATGGGATCTTAAATACTGCAACTGTGTACTGATGCCTCTTATTCACAGCTGGAATCAGTAAGGAGGTTGCTAAAGTGAAAAATCATCACTACAAGTTCATGACTTCTAAACCCTCTAGCAAAGACTCTAGTGACTGAGCGCACAGCTTGAGGACCACACACTTTCAGAATCTGATTTTCAAAAAGACAGTAAAAGTATATTGGTACGTGCCTATCGATAGGGTATACTTGTTTAGATTTCTCAATTGGCTCCACGTGTGGTAAGCTACAATATCTAACGTGTGTGTGTGCAGTGTATATGTACAGTTCAGGGATTAGTGCAAGTGATGCACATTTAGAAATTACATCTAAGACCATGTTCATAGATGACTGAAATTCAGATTGTTATTTACCTTAGAAAAACACATGCATATTGCCAGTAAAAAATAACACAAAGAGTTTTCTTTAAAGTCTTAATGTTTAGGAACCCCTTAAAGTTTAGGAAATTTAGAATTTGTCCTTGAGCACCAAATTTCTATCCTTGAGGAAGCTTTTAGATCAGATTTATAAACTATTACTTGGCAGTCTCAAATTTTTTGTGCTGGTCGTTGGTTAGATTAGGAGGAGCATGATTTTATTTCAATACAAATTAGTCTAGTAGGTATTCATGCTTCATTGAATCGTAGAATGGTTTGGGTTGGAAGGGCCCTTTAAAGGCCATCTAGCCAACCCCTCTGCAATGACCAGGGACATCTTCAACTAGATCAGGTTGCTCAGAGCCCCGTCCAACCTGACTTTGGACATGTTTGGCCACCAAAACTGGGATTTTTACTTGTAAATACTGTTAAATATCTTGCCATAAATAACTGATTGTATTTCATGTAGCCAGGAGAAAGCAATATCAAAATTAGTCATGGGTACCTAAGTGGGCCCTGGTACCTTAGTGGAGTTCTCTCCCTGGAATTCTTTTCACTGGCTGAGCCGTTACCCAAACTTCTGATCATACTGGCCTTTGCATATGTAATCTGCTGATATGCTTATGCTTACACACATGCTTTTCTTTGCAGTTCTCATTTTAAATCATACCTATTATAATTCTCAAATATATACTATCCATTATAGCTTCTGGGTTCAATGCAGTAAGATATATTAGTAATATGTTAGTATATGTTAGTAATTTGTATGCATACTAGAACATGCATTTGTCTTATGCAGAAACAATTAAAACCACAGGTTTATTACTCAAACTGCGTTCAGCTTGGTACTTGCTAGAAATACATCATAACTGGCTTTATATATCTTGTTAAAGACAAGACTTTAACCCAAACTAGGCATTTTTTTCTCCCTTAGGTACAAACATGTATAACAGCAAAGCTTCATCTGATACAAAACAGAGTTCTTTCCTCCTCTATCTTTTCTTCCTTCTGAAGCATTTGCTACATTTTGTGAATGGCAGGGCAGAGAGTAGGGGAGTAAGACAATGAAACCTTGCACAATTACTTTTTTTTGTTGTTTTGTTACTAGAACGTGACAGTATGGGCTAGGATTCTTGATACATACACTGAGAGGATTGTCTCAGGACACAGCTAGCAATAGATGAATTTCCACTAAGGAAAATCTGAATAGAAGGAAGTCTCAAGAGCCCCAATGGCAAGTAAAGTGTGAACACACAGCATTCCACAAAGCTAACTGCCTTTAACCACATGGAAAAAGTTTCCAAATTAAAGTAACATTTGAACAATCTTCACCTATTTCCACTTGGTATGAGGTAGACGAACATTTCTTTATGGACAAAAATACAAAATGAGAAATAAGCAAAAGCTGAATAAGCCACATTAAGTATAGATATCTGGAATGGGGTAACACAGATTAAATTCTTCCTTTCTGAAAATAGGCATGATGCAAGCTAATGCTGACAGATGATGTCCACATGCACCGTAGGAGCTCTCAGAGCACCGCGACTGACTTGAGTATGTGGCTTGTTCAAAGCCAGAGGACGTGTGGCTATTCCATCGCTCTTTGCAGGGAGGTAGCTTGTTATGCCTATATGATCATGCTGCAGCGTGTCTCGGGGGAGGCTGAAGTACTCATCGCTGGGCAAACCAACATAGCGGTTACTGCTCATCCTGCAATGAGCATATGGGTCTTATGCCACTTACTGATGGGGACAAAAAGACTGGTTTTGTTCCCTCTTCAGCTGACAGCTGCACAAGGGCCACCTATTGATTCTCAGAACAAAATAGGAACAAGCAAAGTGAGCAGATGTAGAAGAATGAAGTGTGTGTTGTCCGCTCCTGAAATGTCAAATCCAGAGGTACGTGGGGCAGTGGCTCTACTTGACTGGTCAGTCACTGAGGTTTTGAGAAACATAAGCCAACTGATAAGAGTAGGAAAAAAAAACCCAGCAAGGCTGCAGGATGTACAGGAAAGCAAGAATCCTTTTTAAGAAGAACTAACAGCAGTACTTTCCTCCTTTTACTGTGGAAGAAAAGAGAATAAATAGTAAGATCTCTGTTCCTAGTACTGCCACTTTTCCTTATTCAAGAGCCTATGGTGCAAAGTACGTCTCACTGGCTCCTAATTTCCCGGTCTTCTGTTCTCCTATGTGAGATTTTCCTCCTTGATAACCTTATCAGAGAAGAAACAAAGCACATGTTTTTTTAAGGCCTGATGAAGGCTGGAGGGGAAGGAAGAATGGCTTCAGTACTGAGAGTAGAATATTCATCTGTTGACAGTACAATCTGCCACACTGGGTTTTCATCCCCTCCTCCCCACAGTAATGTTTGGGTATGTCCTTGAATGCTCCTTGGACTTGATTTCTTTTTACATGGGCTCAGGTCCCCTGCTAATTTCTTCAGCTTTGGTTTTGTTTTGACACGTAGCTGAATTCTCCCAAGTACTACCTCCTCACAGTACCAAAATGAAGATGGCATTCACGTCTCCTGCAAATCTTGATAATATAATTTAAACACTCGTCTTCCATATATGCATGGAATAACTTTAAATGCTGCTATCATCAGTGGGTATTTAAGCTAATCTGCTTCATGAT